GCATGTGTAGTTGTTTTTGTAGCAATTCATAATCTGTCCTCCTCTGCTTCCACAGCCGCCACAGGTCTCGGTCTCGATCACGAGAGAGGCGATCTCGCTCAAGAGACAGAGGTCGAGGAGGTGGCCGTGACCACGAGAGACGTCGCTCCAGAGACAGAGAGCGTTCAGGGCGATTCTGAACCACAAGCCATGACTACTTGTCCTTCCCTCTCCGTATCCATCCCCAGTCTTTTTTTAAGTTTGTACCCTTCCAGATGTATTGTAGGACTGATAGAAAGGTACCTGATTTTTGAAGCTGTGACAGCATTGACGAACTTGTTTTTTCTTGATTTCTGAAAATGACTTTCACCTCCATTAAATTGAACATTTTTACTTAACATGAGTGTTTCATGAATCATTCTTGCGTTAAGCTTAAATATCTAGGTTATGATGGCAGTGCTTTTTTTGCTTACTTCCGATTGCCCACAGCAAGAGTAAATGTACACACTGATTGTTTACTTGTAATAACAATTACCATTCATGGACTCTATCCTCATAGTCACTTAAAACAGAAGTGTCTATTGGTTGTAACACTTTGAGAGAGAGACTGACTGAGAGAGACTGACTTGCAACACTAGTCAGTTTAGAAACATAAAATCACAAAAAGCATCAAACAGCTGTATTTTCTTCAGTTACACTGAAGAAGCATAGATTGTCTCTGCACACATTTGCTTGTTTTAATTTTACATACAGGTTTCATGCTGCCTCCTGTGATTCAAGGTTTATGTAGGAGAGCAATGACGTAATTCTCCCCCGGCTATATACTACAGACAGTTTAATAAATCTAAAATAAAAAAAAGCTTGAATATCAAATATACATATATTACCATATATATATATATATATATATATATATATATATATATATGAAGGTAACAAACAATGCTAAAATAAACTTGATCACTAAATTAATATTTAAATAAATCTGAAGTCTTGATAATCTCAACAGCATGTGGACTAACAGCAAATTATCCTACAATAAATAAACAATGACGAAGTTATTGTTTTAATTTAAAGAAACATTTCCTTTTCTTGCAGGGCAGTGTTTGTTTATTCGGAAGTCTAGATTTATTTTGATCTTAACCCTCAAGTGAAGTACTCAGTATTATACAGTAGTATTTTTTTGCGTGTATTTCCTGTCCTGACAGTGGCAGCCGACCTGCAGCGGAAGCGACTCCTTATTGGAGGTTTGCAGTTACAGTCTTGCAGTCTTCTGATGAGCACCAGTGGTTGAGTCAGGTCCCATGTAGACACTGCTTCTTTGTAAGATGAACCACTGGTTTAATCTTGAACAAGACGTTGTGTTTTAAAATATTTTATGTAAAATCAAAAACTATTCATTAACCACACCTGTCAATAAATGCATTGGAGTAAAAAGTACTTACAGCATGTAGTGCTGCAGGAGCGAACCAGAACGATGCACCGAGTGAGCAAATGCAATATTATAAAATTGTCATCGCAAAGTCGGCCGGTTAAACAGCATGTGCGTATAACTACTTGTGTCCATTCGCATAACTTGCTTAATGACGCGCTGATTACAACCTACTACATCCATAAATCTTCTAATTGTACCTGTGTTTAACTGACTGTGCGTATCCTTGTTTTCTCACCATGATGAAAGTATTCATGAAGTCAGTCTTAACATTTGATAGTGTGGTCAGTTATAGTTGACTTATGTGGTTACATAAGCTTTGAAACGAGATAGGTGCCCTAAAAAAATAGCATACACAGTAATAATAGCCTAATCTAGTTAATTAATTGTGCCTTATAACACTCTGCATTATTAGTACTTTTACCGTTGATACTTATATTATTATAATAGTGATTTGCATGACTTAAACTTGTAGCCTATTTTCACACTGTGCAGCCTAAATGCTACTTTTACTTAAGTAAAGGAGCTGAAAACGTCCGAGTAGGTTTTCTCCTGTCTGTGGGAGCAGCGGTGGGGGCCAGACAAACGGGTGACTGTGCTGTTGGAAATGAAGTGCTGAGGCTAGGAGAGGCTCGGTCAGTGTTGAACTCAGGTGACTTGTCTGACGGACAGGTGAGTGCACTACTCTTTAACGTAGACCGTAACATTGCGTTGTTCCTGATTTATAATGTAGCTTATAGGCCCTATTCTGTTTAAAGTCTTGTAAATAGACATGTTTCAACTTATAGCATTGTTTTATTCATCACTATAATCTGGTAACGCCGCGACAAAACATCCCAAAACACGTTTTAGTAATGTAATTTCAATCAATCATTGAAAATATGAATTTATTTTACATTAAATTAATATAACATTAAAACACTAATATATGATGTTTGTCTCTAAATTATTATACAGGATGTTTGTCCGGATGAGCTATTGTAGTTAAATGAAATGACATTATTTACCAAATAAAATATCCACCAGGTTTGAATGACAACTCAAATATCTCCACTGGTGTTGAATGAAATGAATGTAGTTCTGCAACTAATTATTATTTTCATTATCAATTAATATGTCAATTAAAGTCAGAAAAATGATGAAAATGCATCTGTTTTTGTTCGACCAACAGTTCATCCTTCAAAGATATTTAGCTTCACATCACAGGGGACAGAGAAAAGCAGATTCACATTTGAGAAGCTGCAACCTGTGAGTTTTTTTAAAAAACTTTTTTTGCTTAAAGATGATTTGTCTTTTAGAAAAATAGTTGCCAATTATTTGACTGATGACTGAATTTAGCTGCTTCAGTTCTAGGGTCCTGGGCTGCAGGCGAATAGTCAAAAGAAATGTCTTTTCCTTGATCCCAGTGGAACATCTCACGTCCTCAAGGAAATATGTGACTTAGGAAATAACCCTGCTAAGAGAATATTTCTGTCTTTTTAAAAATCATCTTTATTTGTAACACAGGGAAGATAAGGACAGTGACACACACACTCTCATGATGTACAATTAAATTTAGGTTTCCTGTCCAAAACAGAATCACACCTCCTGAAAAAGGATGTTTATACATAGGATAGGAGAGAGCGGGGTATGTTGTAACACTTTTAGCACTCTCTAACATTTACTGGGCACCATACATCACAATAAATGTCACACCAGATGTATGAACGAAGACTTGGGCACATATTTTGTATCAATGACATCTTCATAGCTTATCTCCGATGGAGTTGTAGAGTGAATGTTGAATGAATGGACAGATGAGACTCCTGGTTGTCCAAAACGAGTAAACAGTGCTTCTCATTTGAGCACTTTGTATGTTCATTGAAATATTTCGGGAAGTCAACAAAGGACATTTTATTCATCTATCCAGAGGGTTTTGCCCTTCCTTTGCTTCCAGGTTCAGTGACAGCATTGTGTGCTGCTTTAATAAGACTGTAAACCACTCTTTGCTGGCCTTTTTGTTTTCTAAACACATAGGCGCAAACTGAAGCTGGTGTGCCACAGCAAAGTGCTTGGCAAATCATCTGACCTCACTTGACGACAGACCAAAACAAATGTCAGCTGACCTAGTAATATATTCAACAAGCTGCTTCTCCAAATCAGGTGAAAAATTCTTCTGTACCATCCTTTGTTGGCATGGGTGTCTGACTACTTGTCTGGTAATCTTTTGACATTACTGAGTCAGAGTATGGTAATTTATGTCAAAATCCTTCACTGTATTCCTGATTGATTTATTCTGCAACTTCACCTGCCTGATTGCCTTTAACATTATGTCAGGTGAAGAGCTGCCATGCTCTGTCTTTTGCCGATAATTTAAAACCACCTTCCTTCTTTCCTTAAAAAAAAAACATATTTCCTTACAGCAATTACAAATAAATTACAGGCTTATTAAACTGTCTACTATCCTTTCCACAATGCAATTCATAACTCCACACTAAATTAATTTGAAATAGTGTATGTGTGTGTCTACTAACACACCACATGCCTACTGTATGAGACAGTATATCCCCACATGCACAGTCGCACTACTTCATAAGTGTCACGAATTCTGTTTTGTGTAGTCCAGGGATGTGCCTGCTGCTGTAAACTACACTGTAGCCATAATAATGTATTTACAGTATAATTGAATGAGAGCTAATGAGAGTCAGAGCTAATCACACAATATCCCAATGTTTTTGAGTGTGTTCTAAGTGTCTGTTTGTACTGGGGCAAGTTGTTGCATGTGAGGACTTTACCCAAAGTCATTTAGACAACTTGCACTAAAATGACATGTGTGCTAATGTTTGCTAAATCTCAAGGATAGCTCAACATAGTCAACAACAAGTGCCTTTGTGTACATAGTATTGTTGCTAATAATGCAATATGCTTGTTCTTCAAGATTGCTCCTAACTGAATAGATATGAAAGAGAAGAAATCTATATTTATGGATTTGGAGACCATAAGTTTTGCCTCATGTCCCAAGCATAAAATAGGTACTCTGTTGTTTCTACATTTACGTGGTGAAACTACAATTGTGCATCGCTTTAAATGTTGCTGCCACGAGGAATTGTGGAGCGGCATTATCTATTTTCCTTTCTTAAAGGATGGTCTATTGTACCCTTAAAGGAGAGAAGAAAAGAAGCATTGAAACACATTTTCTTAAGCAGTGAAGCCCATTGTGTCTCCTGGTTTAGCCCATTGAAAATAAAACAGGTCAGGCGCAGACCAGGACTCATTGCCGACTCTGTATTTCCCCTCAGCTCTACGTGGTGTCTTTTATTTAACTGTTTTGGGTTTACAGCCTTACAACACAATTTGACCGCTCTGATAAACTCATTGCACTTTACCTGCTAAAACACCAGACAGACACAATTAGCGACTAAAGAGCCAGATATTTCCTTCAGGATTTGGTGGAGACCAAAAACAGATCTAAAAGGCGAGTGAAAATTGGACTTAGTTTTATCGCTCTGGGCCTGTTTTTACAGTATTTGTTTATTTATTCAAATTTTGAATGTTTTGTTTGTGTGCATGTGTGATTGTAACACCTGCCCCGTCTCACTGCAGGTGAACCATGCCTACTGCAGCTAAGTTGATAAATGCAGACATCACTGTGGATCAAAAGTCTTCCAGTGTGGATGGGGATGCTGTAACTGTCATAGGTGGTCATGGGTTATCTGCAACTGGAGAACAGCACTGTCTCAAGGCTCAGGATGAATCAATCCGGGAGAGTGAGCTGGAGAAAGGAGAAGGGACTCCTCGTCAGAGGAACTGGATCCGGCCTGATTTACCCAGCAGATGTACCTGGAGGCTGGGTGCACCTATTTCAGAGTCCCCTCATAGTCACCCAGCACAGTAAGCAGTAGACAGTTAGAGTGGGGGGATGACATCCTTCCTGTTACCAAAATAACCAAAATGCATCCCCCTTGTTGCTGCCAACCCCCTTTCCATCCCCTAGTGGAAAAGAGCTTGCACTGGTAAATGCGTTGTTTAGTTGAATATGTTGAATAGCTAGTCTTCCTGACTCACTGACCCTTTATCTGACTGAGGTTTGTGCAAGTTAGAATCTATGATGGTCTCAAACATGTGTCTGAAATATCATTAGCCTAACTCTGCTGTGTATTGAGGAATCCATTGCGCTGTCAGTGCTAGATGCAGGTGAATTTGTTAAAAATGAACAAATGTGGCATTAAGAGTTATATTAATAATACAAGCTCGGAAAATAAATAGGTTGTCAATGCTGAATTAACCTTGTTTAAATTTAAGTTTTAGCATGGTCAAATGAGACAATGGCCCCTGGACACAGACATGTTAAAGGGTCCCCACCCCTCACACATGGGAGCAAGACAAGACTGAAAGAGACACAAAATGACTACAAACAACACCCTTGGAGATACTCAAGACTCTGATAAGGATCAGGACTCTGAAGTGAGCTTTGTGACTTTCCAACAGAGGCTCTGGGGTCAGGGGGCCCCTGGGCCTTTGCCCAAAATCGTAGTTCTGTTCAGCAATCCAAGTAAAAGTTTAAAAAAAAGGAAAACATTGCAGTCACTTTGCATGTACCACATAACTTCCAGTATTTGCAAGCATGAGTTTACAGAAAGAGCGCAGCATCTATTTCATAACCCATCATCAGTATTTTTGACAGTACGAGTCGTAACCGATGTGTCCTGCTCATGCCTGAGAGTACCAAGTACGTCCCATAGCTGACCTTTTCGTTTACACGCTTTCCGTAATGCAGAGTGCCCTTCACAGCTGCAAGTGTGACCCACTGTAGTGAGTGAGGGCCTGTTAGTTATGAAAGGTTTGGGCAAGAGCCTTTCTCACATTGGTTGTGACAGATCATAAGGTGGCTCAGACATTAACAATGTCTTCCTTCAGTTTAGCTGTGATAGTCATTCTGTGCTAGCATGCGCAAATACCCTTTTCATAGCAGAAATTTTGAATTTTCACAGCAGCAACAGCCACACCTGTAACTAATGACATTAATGATGGCTCACTTCCAATACAGGTGCCCTGTGGAGTTTCTGTTTACATTCAGTTTTACTCATTGATGTGCATCCATGTGGTCTAACAAACATGGTGAATGCATTTCCTCCCTCATAAAGCATTTGTAAAGCTAATTGTTGCTAAAAGTGTGAAACCCGCACTCATGTTTATTAACTTTCTGTCTCCTTCAATGCCTTTAAATGGCGCATGAATGCGTCTTTTGACGTCAGCTGTTTGATTAGTGCAAAACTATTGGCTGGAATGAGTATTGCATCTCTTGCATATGTCATTCACAAGAGCAGACTCCACGGGGAACCTTTAATGTAAATTAGTTTCACCTGTGACTGGTGTGGGAAAGATTCATTGTCGACATATAACTACATTAGATGTAGTGTGAGCATATTTCCACCAAACCATGTAATTTATTTACAGCTGGTGGTGTATTTTCTCTTCTGTCCATCACAGCCCCAATGCCCCCAGCATCCTCCCCAACATCCTTGGGAAAATTGGACACACACCTCTGGTTCGTCTGAACAAAATCCCAAAGGAGTTTGGACTCAAGTGTGATGTTTGTGAGTAAATGCTTTCATATAATCTCTGCAAAGATTACATATGACACACATGCTTATTTATCAGTAACAGCACACCCACATCTCTACACAAAATAATTTTAACTTTATACCTTTTTTAGTATACAACCTTGAAAAGGTTGGAAATTAATTGTTTTTGCTTATAGTTATATGAACTCTGTTTTACAAAACATCATGATAGTATTATTTCTTCACCAGTCTATGGATTTGAATGAATCTGTTCTTTGTCCACCCTTGTTTTCATGGGAATAGTTGACAAAGGTTGGACAGGGAGTCCAGAGTTCTGCACTGTACAATGTTTGTTACCTTTGACTCTTACAGGTTGTGCAGAGGCTTGAATAGCTGCCCCACAGCAAAGCTAACTTGAATCTTGTCTGCACACTTATTATGCAGATAAATGGTACAGTTAAGATGAACAGGACCGGAGAGTCAGATTTTGTTTTTCTCATTTCAGAAAAAGGAGGGAGACTACTCCTAACAACAGCATTATTGTTCTCCTTCCTGGAAAAGCCAGAAAGTTGAGAAGTTTCAGTGTTCAATGGGACAGAAAGAAAGTGCTGGCTAGATGTGATTGTAGCTCAGCAGCATTAGATTAGAGACTGAAGTCTTACCTGGCATACTGTCTTTGGGTACAAGGCTAAGAAAGACTTCTTTCAGGAAACAAGGCATGCAGGCAAACACATTTAATTAATATGTGGGAGCGGAAGACCTGCTATTGCTTTCATCAAGGGCTATTGATATGGCTGCGTCCCTATTGGCTTCCTTCTTAGGAAGAAGAATCTGCTGTTCAGAAGGGAACATTAAGGATTATGTGGCTCATGGCCTTTTTTCCATGTGACTGTTGGGGTTGTGTCTGAGTCAGCGGGCTCCCATGAATGTGGAGGTAAAAATGAAAGGTGTTGTTCTTTCGGCCAACAGAGCAAAGCACACAGCCACACTTGAAATGAAACCTGAAAACATACATGGTGTTTCTTTAAGTATTTATTTGATTTCAGTAGAGTATTTCCTCAGCTGCACTGTCTCGTACTGGCAGGGTTCAGTGAGGATGAAACCAGTCAGAGGCATCAGTCTAAGCCTCCTAAGAAAATCCCTTTTACACTCCCTTAAACTAATGAAAGTGAAATTCTAGTTTGTTCCCATGGCTTAATGAGACAAAGGACCTTACACCTGATACTTACGCAGTTTTCACGTGACGTTACTTCTCTAGTTCACCAGATAAATTGTAGCCGCCCCAAATTTGTGGCAGTTGGCAGACGTGTTGGTGACAGAGAGACCTTGGAACGACCCCACGCTCCCCAAATAAAATGTCGTTTCAGTCTTCTTCCATAATCTGCTCTACTCTGGTCTGTGTCACTTTCAGTTGCAAAGTGTAGTCCAGTGTGCCTCTTTAACACTGGACATTTTGACCTGGCATAGTAGGAAAAGCACAGGTGTTACTAATAATATTAACAATGGATCTGTTCTATTCAAGTGTCCCACTAAGTCATGACAGAGAACTAGCATTTTCAATACCAGGACCCTGAAAGTGAAGCAGCTAAATTGACTTCAGCCACCATTAAATTTATTATTACACCTGTTTTTCCTACTGTGACATGTCTAAATGGTTTACACAGTAGTAGTGTCACAGATGTATGCTGATTGGCATTTGAAGGTCATCTTAACTTTAGTGTGATGTACTGCCATCACATTCAATCAAAGGAAAAAGTATGTGAACCCTTAGATTTAATAACTGGTTGACCCTCCTTTGACGGCAATAACCCCAATAACCAAACATTTCCTGCAGTTGCAGATCAGATCTGAACAATGGTTAGGAGGAATTCTGGACCATTCCTCTTTACAAAACTGTTTCAGTTCAGCAATATTCTTGGGCTGTGTGGTGTGAATCGCTCTCTTTACGTCATGCCACAGCATCTCAATCGGGTTGAGGTCAGGACTCTGACTGGGCCACTCCAGATGGCGTATTTTCTTCTGCTGAAGCCATTCAGTTGTTCATTTACTTCTGTACTTTGGGCCATTGTCCCGTTGCATCGCCCATCTTGAGGTTGAATTGGTGGACAGTATATAATACTCATAGACGTATAGAAAACTCCAACTCATTAAAAATTCTTTAATTAGGCTACTTCTACTCCTTTTCCTTAATAAAAAAATCCAGAATCTATAAATATGCTAATTATTTTTACTACTAGACATAAGATGTCTCTCTCCTACTTAATTTGAATTGATCTTGATGATTGATCTTGATGATTAACACTTATGGAGGAATCCTCATTATGTTTATACCAGTTTTTGGCTGCAACTTCACTGAATCATTGGCACCACTGCTCAAATGTGAGTTCCTGATGTTTAAAAACAAAGTATTTATAAGAATTTATAAGAATAACAATGGCATCAACCGATACTGGATACAATATTAGCTGATTCTGAGGAAGGTGTGTTGAGTCATTTTCTCATAAGAAGTTCAAGAAAATATGCAGAATGACAAACTTAGCATTTAGATTCTGCTGACCAGTGTTGGGCAGTTACTAGTAACGCGTTAATGTAATAATATTACTTTTCCCAGTAACTAAGTAGTGTAACTAATTACTTTTCAAAAACCGTAATATTATTAGTAGTTACTAATGCTGGGTACACACCAAAAGATAATCGGGCTGATTTTGGGCAGATTTCCCCGCTTCCGACAATCCTGGCTATGTCCCAATTATCTTGATGGTTCTACAGATTATCTTATCAGATTCTCCCTTGGTGTGAGGTGTGTTAAGAGTGTCCGAACCTGATCGGAAGAATGTCAGAGGCGCCCCGATCGTGAATCGTAAATATTCAACATGTCGCTTTTTTTACGATTTGCGACATGTTGAATATTTACTATCAGAAATCCTGATGTGTGGGGATCCCCGAGGACAAACGTGCACACATTCTGGAGATTATCACGTGAAACAAAACAATATCCAATCATAAAGCGAGATGGTTGAAGACAGAAGCATAAGAAACACAGTCATGGCGCAGCACAAGGTGAAATGAATATGGACAGCAGAGATGGAGGATCAGCTTGTAGATTTGTGGCAACAGCATGAATGTTTGTTCAATGTCGCAATTTCTTCCTGTGTATCGTCCGCCATGCTTATTCTGAAGTCTCGCGAGATTTTGCGAGATTTCCTGTGTTCACAGTCAAATCTGTTTGTGTGTGGTGTCCCATGATGTGACAAAGACAGCACACTATAGGAGCAAAACGGTTAAATCTAGGATTTTTTCTCCTCATGTTTGTGATCCATCACATTTTGAAAATCTTATAAGATGTAAAAAATCCTTTGGTGTGTACCCAGCATAAGGCTTTACCTCTAGCACCCTGGCATGAAGATCCTGTTTTCATCTGTGACGCAAAGTGTTGGTGGAAGGCTGGTGCCAATCAGTGAACAGTGTTATGGCTGTATTTGTTTGTAGCTTAAATGATGCCATGATTGAGAACCCTGCCAGTCAAGCTTCATTACAAGACGGCTAACGTTAGCTAACTGTTATACATGTTATTCTAAAAAAGGAGACAACGATAGACTCCGTGACCTTGCCAACAGTAAATCTAAATAATCATTAATTCATGCCATACTACATTTAAAACGCATTTCTATTTAAATGAGCGACACACCGTCAACTTACCTCCATCTAGCCTGTACCATAGACTCTATATGAAAAGGCCTGTACACGCTACAGCTCCGTCTCCAGAAAGTGGACGGAGCTGTCGGAGCGAGGGGATTGTAGGCGTGGCCATGCGTTGGATGCAAATCCATGATTGGTCAGTCAAACCACCAATAGAATCTCTTATTTAGACCTTTTTTGACTCGCAAAACTTTTCAACTTGCAAAATGGTTGAACCTGCAAAACTTTCTGACTTGCAAGGAAAACTTTTTAACTTGCAATCAATAAGGACAAATTAGCAATTAAAACTTTTTGTGACACAAAAAAAGGCCTGTTTATTTTTAATTACAAACAGAATTTTTGATTGCAGTGCGATAAATATGCTCTCAAAACATTTTTTTTGCTTGCATTAAAAAGACACAAAAATACCTTCATACCAGGGCAGTAAAATGTGAAGTTTAGCTGCTGATCTGAACTTCCCTGCTGTTACCATTTCTTTACCAATAATATTCATCAGCTGTTTGTCTCAGGAAGGTAACTGCTTCTCTCCAGGTAACAAAGCCATAACAGAGCGTCGGGGAATAACTACATGAAATTACAATCCAACTACATATTTTGTCTACCAGCGCAGTAAAAGTTTTGCTGGCTGATCTGAGCTTTGATGCTGGAAGCTGCCGTTTTATTGCTAATTAGCGATCAGCTGATTCTCATGAAGTTAACAGACAAAGTCAAAGCGCTGGAGAGAGAGAGAGAGAGAGAGAGAGAGAGAGCGAGTCACTACATGAAATTAATCCAACTAACATAACACCACAAGCCAAAGCACAGCCCAGGAGAATAAACCAATCCAACTAATAATACATTTTTTTCTACCAGTCAGTAAAAGGTTAGCTGGCTTATGCTTCCAATGCTCTAAGCTAACGTTACGGTTTTATTGCCAATTAACGTTACTGATCAGCTGATTTTCTTGCTAACATAACTGGTGTTCTGTAGATTTATGCTACCTATCGAGATGTGCTACTTAGCGGTTCTGCACATGCGTATGACTCAAAAGCGTGGTCTGTTTCCGCGCCCATAAATCTGTGCAACCTTAATGTTGGGAATGCCGTCGAGAAAGTGGCTGATCAGTCAATATCTGTCAGTAATATAAAAAAACAACAACATTATTACTCTATCAGAATACGCTACCCCTGATATCTTAAATAAAGATGTCAACGTGCTCCCCATCTCCTTACAGTACACATGGAGTGAGTAGTGGTGCAATATAAAATGATTCTGTAGTGGGAGCATTATTTGATAGGGGAGATTAGTCTATCGGAATACGCTACCCCTGAAATGATGTTATAATATAATCAAAAAACAGAATATGTCATAATACTGTGAGAGTTATAACTTAATGGGATTGGAAAAGGGAACACAAGGTAGCATTTTTCCATAGGGCAGGGCGACTCGATAGTCTCTGCTGTCGATTTGCGCTATGGTAGCATTTTTCGACAAGGCATCATAGATCGTCAGAAAGCCAAATCACAGACTGGAGAATAAGTAGGCGCCATGAAATTAATCCATATTTCACACCACTGACAGGGGAAACACGTCACGGCTCTCTGTGATTATGGCCAGCTAAGATAAAGCTCTCAAACAACAGTTTTCATTTGCATTGCTAAAGTCTGACAAACAAAGTAAATTACCTGTCCAGCAGAAAACAGACAACTTCAGCTCCACTTTGAAAACATCTGTCCCACATTACCGTTATGCCTTTACCTCTGGGAAAATCCACAAAATCGGTGATTTCTGCCGTCAACTGTCTGTCCCGACTCCATCAAGCTGTCGGCTCTCGTGCTAAATAACACGTGTGCTCCTACAGTTGCCCAAATGTCACTTCTCTTCTTCCTTCTAATAAACCAGAAGACTAGAGAGAGACAGAGACTGTATATTACTATTATTATTAGTCCCTCTTCTTCTTCAATGTAGTGATGGGCGTCTACACTACCGGAATTACACAAGCTCTGTAGTGCTAATTGTTCGTTGTCAGCTTCAGTAGAAACATGACGACAAAATACAGCGACCTCCACAGCAGCAGGGGGTGCCTGCGGTTATGTAGATATAAATGTCTCATTCTAACGAAATAAAAACATAATGGGTCATTATGTAAGGTCTTTATACACCACTGAAAGCATAGTTATGGATCTTATATTGCATTTCTGTCAATAGAGCCTCAGAAATATTACACACTGGACCTTTAAGGAGTAATAAGTAACTACTAATATACTGTATTACAATTTCTGAGTAACTTGCCCAACACTGCTGCTGACACACACAGCCATGAATGCATCAACTTCAACTGAATGTTATTCACTGCAGACCAGTTTCATCCACAGCTTGAAAATACCTGTTCACTCACTGCTTGCAGTGAACTAATGATGCACACATTTTTTCACAATCACTGATAGAGCAGATGATCTCCATGAAGAGTACTAAAAAAGTAATACATATAATACATCACCACTTTTAACATATCATAACCTTTGGAACAAAAATAACACTGCATGAATTAAACAAACTTGCGTCCTGTTATTTTATAACCTGACTAATAAATGAACGGATTAACACACAGAAAAAATAGTGATGTTGAGAAAAATGAAGGAAACAACATTGATTTTTTATCTTAGCTGTTTCAGACTCTTAAGTCAAACTAAAACACACTCAGTGATAGTATTATCGCATGTGTATTTAGTGGCCAAGTGCGAGTTCTTCAATGCAGGAGGCAGTGTGAAAGACAGGATCGGCCTGCGGATGGTGGAAGATGCTGAGAGAGTCGGGATTCTCAAACCAGGAGACACAATCATCGAGCCCACCTCTGGCAACACAGGTACCTTATAATAATAATAATTATAATAATAATAATAAAAATAATAATAATAACTTATATTTTTATAGCGTCTTTCACTGGACCCAAGGACGCTTTACACATAACTTAAGAGACAGAACAATAAAAGTCATTCAGGGTTGATTGCCTTTGTGAAGAGGTGGGTTTTTAGGAGTGTTTTGAAGGTGTCCAGAGAGGGAGTGTTTTGGATCTCTGTGGGGATGGAGTTCCAGAGGGTGGGGGCTGCGACGCTGAAGGCTCTGTCCCCAAAAGTCCGTACTATGGTGTGGGGGACAGAGAGCAAGCCCTTGTCGGTGGACCGCCGGTTCCGTGAGGGGTTGTAGGGGTGGAGAAGGTCCAGTAGGTACTGGGGTGCAGTGGCATGGAGAGATTTGTAGATGAGGAGTAGGATTTTGTAGGTGATGCGGAATTTGACCGGGAGCCAGTGAAGCTGAGTGAGGATTGGGGTGATGTGCTGCCATGTCCTAGTGTAGGTGAGAACCCTGGCAGCCGAGTTCTGAACATATTGTAGTCTGTCCAGGACCTTGCTGGGTACCCCATACAGGACACCACTGCAGTAGTCCAAACGGAATGTGATGAAGGCATGGATGAGTGACTCTGCCACAGAGTCTGGGAGTGAAGGTCGAAGTCTGGGGATGTGACTGGAAGGAAAGGGTGAAGTCCAATATGACACCAAGGTTGCAGACTTCTTGGGATGGACCCTCAGGAGCAGCGGCTTGGGAGCCTACAAATAGCCTACTAACTACCAATAGCTCTGTTTTGCTGCTGTTTAGTTTGAGTAGGTTAGATGACATCCAGGTTTTTATTTCATTCAGACAGTTAACAAGTGACAGAGGCGGAAGCTGAGTGGATGGTTTGGTGCTGAGATACAGCTGTGTGTCATCAGCATAACAGTGAGAGCTGAGACCATGGCGGCGTATTATCTGGCCAAGGGGGAGCATGTAAATGGTAAAGAGGAGGGGTCCAACACAGAGCCTTGGGGCACACCTTGTTTGACTGGGGCTGGGGGGGAGCTACAGTCTCTAAAGGTGACGAACTGTTCCCTATTAGAGAGGTATGACTGGAACCAGGAGAGTGCTGAACCGGTGCGGCCAACACATACAGATAAACGGTTGAGAAGGATGGTATGGGGAACTGTGTCAAAGGTTGCTGAGAGATCTAGAAGAATGAGGATGCTGATATGTTCAGAGTCAGCAGCGATGAGGAGGTCATTAGTGATTTTGATGAGGGCGGTCTAAGAACATGCAGGGTGGGGAACAAAAACAAACGCAAGAATCTATCCCATGAAAAATGTAGAAGCGAGTTGTTGTCTAGGCAATATAGCAGAACACAGAAACTGTTCTGACCGTGATAAGTCCTCCTCCTCTGGCTGCCTGCAGGTATCAGCCTCGCCCTGATAGCTGCAGTGAAAGGCTACCGCTGCATTATCACCATGCCTGAGAAGATGAGCATGGAGAAGGTACGCTGCTCTTTCACTGATCACAACTTCTGATTGATTCATTATGGGACATTTGACTGAATTGAAATCTGACCTCAGTGTGTGCTTTTAGGTGGACGTGTTGAGAGCTCTTGGGGCAAAAATAGTGCGCACACCTACTTCTGCAGCTTTCGATTCACCAGAATCTCACATAGGTGCGGCTTGGCGTCTAAAGAATGAGATCCCCAACTCGCACATCCTCGACCAGTATCGTAATGCCAGCAACCCTCTGGCTCACTATGATACCACAGCTGAGGAGATACTGGAGCAGTGTGATGGTTTGTACTAAACTCTTTCTTTTCAAAGGACAGACAGAAAAAAGGCAATTTAAGTGTATTTCTAATATACAGTGCAGTCCATACAATATATCATAGCTTATTGCTCTTAAATTTAGTTTTATTCACCAAAATGTATTGTGTGTATCCTTGGGGTACTCTCCAGGAAGTGTAATCCAATAATGAAAGGAAATGTGCTTTTCCTTTCAGGTAAATTGGACATGTTTGTGGCTGGAGCCGGCACAGGTGGTACACTTACTGGTGTTGCTCGAAAGTTGAAGGAGAGGTGCCCCAATATCAAGGCAAGACACACAGCATGTTGTGATCAAGGACCTCTTTGAACTTGTTTTATTTTGTTAAATCTATGGATATGATTAGAGAGATTTGTGTGGAGAAGATGTCCAGATGAGGTTACTTCTGTTTCAGGGCAGGGCTTTATAGGGGAGGGGGAGGATTTTGTAGTTGATGCGGAATTTGACTGGGAGCCAGTGAAAGGGAAGTGAGGATTGGGGTGATGTGCTGTGCTGCCAAGTGAAAACCCTGCAAGCTCAGTTGTGCACAGACTGAAGCATGTCCAGGACTTTGCTGGTTACCCCGAACAGGACACCACTGCAATACTCCAAGCAGTAGGTGATAAAGGCATATATGAGTGATTCTGCCACAAAGTCCGAGAGTGAAGGCCAAAGTCTTGAGATGTTGTTGAGGTGGTAGAAGGCAGATATATATGATAATAAGGTTCATTTTCCGGGTACCTACATGTCAGGGGCCTGGCTGCTATGTCCTGGGCCAGTTGCAGACGGGACAGGAACGACTGATTGATCCCAGTATACAGGGAGTTCCAGTAGTCCAAGTGAGAGTAAAGGTGTGGATGACTTTCTCAAGATCTTTGAAAAAGAGAACAGGCTTGATTTTGGCAATTGTACAAAGGATCCAAAGGATTTTACTACTGCAGTCACATTCTTGTCACAATAACAGGGTTGAACAGATTGCTAAGACTGTTGGTAATCACTTTGATGGAGTCTGGGAGCCAAATAGGACAGCTTCAGACTTGCTTTTATTCAACTGTAGGAAGTTTGAGACATTACCAAGCCAATCTTTATGCTGCAGTGTTTTCAGTGTTAACGCTGTTGTCTTGTTTGTTTCAGATAGTCGCTGTGGACCCTGAGGGCTCCGTTCTGGTTGAATCAAAAGAGGAGAACAAACAGAAAACTTCTTTTGAAGTGGAGGGCATCGGATATGACTTCATTCCCACAGTGTTGGACAGATCTGTGAGTGTATTTCTGCATGCGCACATTTGAACATGCAAGTTTTGGTTTGTTCAGCACACTGAGCTGATTGTAACTGAACATCATAAAACATGTGTTTTATGATATGACTTAAGGGGAAAGTAAGTGATTCTGCAGAAGGATTGTTGATATTTCAACTCAACTGCTGAAACAATTACACCCCTCTCTTCAGTGCTCCCTCAGAAGCTCTGCCCAAATTTCAAACCTCTGAGGTTTCTCCAGCATTGGAACGCCTTCGCCCTTGCCTGGTCATGTAACTTTCTTCTCTGTTTATTCTCTTCAGATCTTTCTCTTTGGCTGTTTCTCGGCCATCTCTACTTCTTCATAGTGCCTGAAGTCCAGCACATTCGAATGCGCCAATGTACAGAACTCTCTCTTCTACTGCCCCCATAACTCCTGTGCACAAGTACTAACACCACCTGTTGCTGATTGACTGGAACAATGTTGTGTGGCAAGGTCCACACCACTTTCTTTATTTTACATTTACAGAGCCAGAGCTGTGTATGAAAACTGGATTTTTTTTCTGAGCTAACACAAAACGGAGAGCTAGCAAACCATGAGGAAATTTCTTGCTGAATGTAACAAAAAGCACATTGGATTACAATGACTTACTATCCCTTTAACCTCCTGCTCTGTTGCCCTCTCCTTTACAAATCTACACAGCTTGTTGACATGTGGTATAAATCAAGTGACATGGAGACGTTCACCATGTCACGTAAGCTGATCAGAGAGGAGGGTCTTCTGTGCGGTGAGTTCACTGACCAAATTATACCGTTGAGGTTTTCTTGGTATAATACATATGTTTTGCACAGCCATGTGGAGGTTTATAACAACCTCTTTATTTGTTCCATTTAATTCTCATCCAAAAATGTGCCTGTTTTACTGCAGGCGGCAGCTCTGGCTCAGCCATGGCAGCAGCAATGAAGATGGCTCGGCAGCTGGAGGAGGGGCAGCGCTGTGTTGTTATCCTGGCCGACTCCGTCCGAAACTACATGTAAAAGACAGATTTACTAAACTCTTGGACAAATACTCACATTAACATTTTACATTTCAACAGCCAAGTTACATGGTCCTAATTCTACTACTCTTGGTTATTGGTCCCATGCAATCAAATTTACCAGGGCCTCAATGTAATCCTTTCTGGAGTTTTGATGTAAGTAACGCTAATATATGATTAACATATGACTGTAATATTTATATGCCTGTGTTGCTGTTACCAACCTTAATTAGACAACCATCTCAAACACACACAAAACCTTTGTTATTTTTTTTTATTTACATGTTTTGAGGTGATTTTTCCCCCCTTAATAGAGAGAGGACAGTGTACAGGTGACAGAAAATGCGGGGAGAGAGAGATACAGTAGGGGATGACATGCAACAAATGTCACCCGGATTCGCACCAGATATGTTGCATCTTAAACCCCTTGGCCGCCAGGATGTCCCACAAAATCTTTAAACATCTCCCCAACTTATAAAGCACACACAAAAACAATCAGAGCACATCAACAGCATGCAACGGCTTACAAATCAAAACTGAATCCACAAAGAACAAAAAATGGAGCCTGACCAAAACCCTCAGGATGGTGAAGATGTATCAGAAAACCAGAGCAACCTCTAATCTGCTCACAGTCATTGTTCTATGTTTTGCCTCCAAAGATCAAAGTTCCTGAGTGACAAGTGGATGTGTGAGAAGGGCTTCCTCAACCTGGAGGCTCCGATGGACCCCAAACCCTGGTACAAAGGTCAACCATAAGCACCTAATTCAAACCACAGATTAGTGCGAAATCTCTCTCTCTCTCTCTCTCTCTTTAAGGTGGTGGAACATGACTGTTCAGTGTCTGAAGCTGCCGGCCCCCCTCACTGTGTTACCATCTGTGTCCTGCCAGAAAACCATTAGGATCCTAAAGGAGAAAGCTTTCGACCAGGCCCCGGTCGTTGATGAATCAGGGTACATCGCCTCAAGAAATTATTTATATATAATAATATATCACTATATATATATAAAGATCAACAGATGTTCCACAGGTGTTTCTTTTACCTCATGATCTGATGTTGAAGCCTGGCTCCTTGTGTGACTTGACAGAAGACAGGAAACTAAGGAGCTGAAGTGCAAAAGTGCATTCAAAACAGAACATTTCTCATTTTTGTTTAGTGTTCTCTTTTTCAGACCTACTATACATTCATCTGGACCTCCTCTCATTGCATGCACAATCCCTCTTTTTGTAATTATTCAATATGACCCAATGAGCCATTGTAGCCTGTTATTAATAGCTGTGTCATTTTTTTCATAGACAGACCAGCTTCTTCCGGACCTCCTCCCAATATTTAACCAACCTCCCATTTTTCAAGACAGATAAAATGGCCAAATGTAATGTTGAAACCTCAGTGTCAACTTCTACAGTTCATTTTTATCATTAACATTTACACAGCTTTTCTTTAGACGTAGTTTTGACTTCTTTTTCTGAAGCAGATGTTTATTATTTGATTAATAATATGATGTTTTTTGGTCTATTTTGTTGGTAGCTGAACTTTTATATATACTGTATATTAGGGTTGACCCCGACAATTCTTTACTATGCAAATCCTTAGTCGGGGGCACCCCTACTTGATATACTGTATATATTTGTATGAGAAAAATAAACTGCAGTAGAAAATAATTAAATACAGAACATGAGGCATGTCCACTGTCTGAAAACAGATATTTTTGAACGGATGCAGATAATAGCTTTGCGTTACATCTATCTTAATGTATGTCATTATCACCTGTGTCACTGCTGATAGAGGATCAGCAGTAGATTGAGTGTTTGTCTCTGTGTGTGTGTTTCTACAGTGTGATCCTGGGGATGGTGACTCTGGGAACCATTCTGTCGTCTGTGTCGGCTGGAAAGGTCAAACCCTCAGATGCTGTCATCAAGGTGCTCTGCAAGCATTTCAACCAGGTCAGTCAGTAGAAACACATGGAGTGCGTGGTCACATGGATGGTAAATATGCATACTATCCATTACATGCATTCAAAGTTAACATATTTACGTACTTGTTTAATCTCCCTACTGATGTACTCGCAGGTGCACCTTACAGACAACCTGGGGAATCTCTCCCGTGTCCTTGAAACAGATCACTTTGCCCTGGTTGTGCATGATCACACCCAGTGTAAGATACTTTATTTATAATATTTTCTTTTCATTTATTTGATTGAAGACAGTACATATTTGTCAAATGAGGGAAGAGAGGGAAAGGGATGACCTACAAGACAGGTCCCCAGCCCCAACAAGTGTTGATCTGCATCAGTTCTAGGAAATAGAACAGTGGCCTGTCCTTGATGCGGCAGGTGTGTTAGACAATCATTTAATTTATCCATAGTAATCCCTTCATTAGGACTGCAACCAACAATTACTTTCATCATGCATTTATATGCAGATTATTTTCTCAATTAATCAATTAAATGTTTGGTCTATAAAGTACTGCAAAATGCCCATCATAATTTCCCAGAGCCCAAGATGATGTCTTTGTTTTACATAAGTCAAACAAAGCAACACATCCTCACATTTAAGAAGATGGAATTAGGAAATGTTTTGCAGTTTTGCTTTAAAAAATTACTTAAACGATGAATTGAACTATCAAAATAGTCAATTATTTTCACTCTACCCTTCATATTCTCCTGCTCTAACTCCCTCATGATGAAATGCATCCGTATCTGTCCATAATATTTCAATAATTTGTTATTGTTTATGGTAGTAGAAATTTGAGATGCAATAAACAGTGCTGGTTGCTGTTGCAGCTAAACTTTTATGTTGCGATAAAGCCTAAATTGAAGCTTTTAAGTTTTTAAGAAACTATTATAATAAATCAAGATGCACATTCCATGTTTTAAATCTATTTTTTGGTTAAAAAATTATAAATGGTTTTAACTGCTACACCTAGTAGAGATTTTTAGGATATTTAGGACCAGTTTCCTGCTCAACAGTGCACTAATAAATTCTTTTTACTTTTTAGTCCACCATTTCAAACAAAGACCCCATTAATGTCTGTCAAAAAATACCTATTTTTGTCCGTCATGTCTGTATGATATTAATAAAGCTATAGCCAGCAGAGAATTTGCTTAACTTAACATAAAGACTGGAAACAGGGGGAATCAGCTAGCCTGGCTACGTCCAAAAGTAAAACATCCATATACCAGCACCTTTAAATTAAATTTCTTTTTCTTTATTGCTTAAACACATTTCTTGAAATGTGTCTTTTTCTCAAAACTCTGAACACAAATCCACAACTTTTCACACAATTCCCCAAACATCCTGTTTTCAGGTCAAAATGAAGCTCTCCACTCAAAACCATTCAATCTTGCTGAAAAACCAAACTTTGCCCTCAGATATAACACACAAGCCCTCAAAAACACACACACACACTACAATACAGTCTTACACACTGGTGAGATAAATTCAAAACAATACTACAAAAACTGGTTATTAGTATGTTGCTTGTGGTTCTCCCCCTCAGAAATCTTTTCACATTATGAAATTACAAAAGAAATAACAAATGTAAACATTTGCACAATTTTTATTTCTCAGTACTGTCCTGTACACCACACCAAACAACAAATTATTCTGCCCTAGCGTCCTGTCTTTGGTCTGGGACAGGCCAGAGATTCTTGTTCTCCTCCTCCTCCCTCTACCTACTGCACCTCCTTCTTCACCTCCTCCTCCTCCTCCCTCCTGCTCCGCCTCCTCCACCTCCTCATCTTCCTCCTTTCCCATCTCCTCCTCTATCTCCTATTGTTCCTCTTCCTTCACCTCTTCTTCCTCTCCATACTGCTCTTCCTCCTCCTCCTCTCTCGTGTCCTACACTTCTTCCTTCAGATTTCTCTGGATCCATTGTTCCAAAACTGAATGAACTGACTCTCTGGCCCTTTTACATAGCTATTGAAGGTTCTGATTGGTGTGTTATTAATTATGACTGTTTGTGTTTCCACCTGGGTAGCTGTCTGTTATCTGAGCTCAACCTGTGCTGATTGAGTGAACAATTTTGAATGTTAGTGTTTTCTCAATGAACACATGGTGTAGGCAATGAGAAATGAAGGGATTTGTGTGTAGAGTTTAGGGAAATCTGTATGTGTTTTGAAAAAAGGAGTTATATTTTTGAAATATTAGTTTAAAAGCCTGGTTATAGTGTTTAAGCAATGGAGAAAAATTGTTAGCTAATATTCTCAAGCTGTGCTAACCAGCTGCTAAGGGGGTATCGATGTTTATATCAAACTTTTCACCTAAAAGGGAATAAGTGAATTTCCCTGTGCTTAACAGTGAAATGTTGAACATTTGCTTTAAGCAAAGGGTCAGACGAATTTTATTGTGTCCACCTTGTTAGCTTCCCAAATATTGTGGCTTTGTATTTGCATAAAAATTTAATAACATCAACAGTCTTGTGGTGTAGCTACTGTAGTTAGCCTAATGTTTATCCTGCTCTTTTTGTGTTTTCAGTTTAGCCAGTAATGTAAGTGTAACTAGTATACAGTCTCTCTCCAGATAAGGCTGATGGGTCAGCTTGCCAGAGGAGGATGGTGTTTGGCGTTGTGACAACGACTGACCTCCTCAACTACATCACCACAGATGAGAGGCTTGATCGCTTGTCCTCTGAGTGCTCGCTGTCGGACAAAATGTCTCTGTCACCAATTTCTGTGTAAGATGTGGATAATGTCACCTCCTTACCAAGAGGCAGCGCATGAGCACCCACGGTTTTAAACTAAATCATGTTTCTTTTCAGTGTCTCTAAGGGTCTACATCTTTGGCTCCACATAAGGAAATAGGCTGTGTGTACTATTGATATATAACATTCTGAAATCAAACTTAAAGGATAAATTTGGAAATGTTTTATATTTAATCTCATTGTCAGCAAATCCCTTGAAAAGAAAAAACTAGTCGTTTGTAAGTAACATTTTAAAGACTTTTAAAAACATTAAACTGTATATTTGTGATCTGTCTTCAGTCGTAACAAATGCTTTAGGGGCCACAGAGTAGGGAAGCTGGAGAGTATTGAGAGACAACATGTTATTGGTTTGATTTTTATGGGATTTGTCGATGAACATAAGGACAATATAGAAAAGCACCAGCCTTTTCTGTTTAAAGACGTAATTTGTCTAGACTTGATTATGCTTACTGAATGTAACTAGATTATCATAACTACATGATTTTATATGATATCAATCATTTTCTAATCATCAGCTTTTAATTTAAGTGTTATGGTTTTACATCATGTTTACCTTGTGAGCTCTACTGAGTATAGTGAAGCCAGACTGAAGGAAAGATTTGACTTGGCCTGTTATCACTTCATCAAATACTGCTGGAAAAAGCTAAAAGTAGATCTTCAATAAAGATCCTTTTTTGGATCTTGGGAGTCAAACTGCTGTTTAAGGTTAAGAATGGAAATATGATACTGTTAAATATTTATAGTACTTTGCCTGAAAAAAACAGTATGAACTTTAAATTAAATTCTAAAATGTCTGATGATATTGTGGGCTAATTAATATAACGTATTTTTTATGGATATGCTGGAAACCCATTGCTTCCTTATTTTTAGGTTGTGGTTAAGCTTGTTGCTTTTCTGCAGCTCAGTACAGGTGGGTGGATAAAGCCTTCCACCTGGTGGCTGAAACCAGGCACACTTGTAATTGTGTGTTATGTGACAGGAATCTGCAGCAGTTAAACTTTGGAATATTGCATGTTAACAGATTCTGGATTATCTGTGGCAGAGAAGGAGTAGATGCAATTTTAATTAACCATGAAACTTTTTTATGGAAAAACCACATCAAATAGAAACCATTATTCAAAGCTAAGTATTTTTTTACATCTTAAAATAAGGTTGGAGGGGATTTTTAAGTAAATGCAATACATGTATACAATATGCATGTTCAACTACAGTGCCAGGTGTGTCTGGGGCCATGTTGGGGAACAGGGAGTGCAGGGCAGGCTGTGTGCATGAGACTAAGTGGAATGAAGGGGAGAAAGTTTTTTGGATAGTGTAGGCTAGCGTGAGTTTTCTTATATAGATATATGCAAAGTTTTTAATAAAGTTTTTTTGTGTAGTATAGTCTCAGTTAGGATAGAAAAGTGTAATATATTGTAATTGAGCATCCTGGTTCGTCCAACTGTATACTTAATAAGAAAACAATAAACGGGATGATAAGTCCAGACTTCTGTTATTGGTATTTATTTAGAACATTTTGTTGTAACACACAACACAAAATGAAACCCCTCTCTACATCCCTCTACCCTCCCAAACAATGAGTTGAATCTCATTCAGTTGTCCCTCCTGGCTCCCTCACAGTCAAGATGGCATCAAAGATAACATAACTGGGATTTATTCATCTCCTATGGTGCCTAACTTTAGTGGTTTGTAACATAGATCAGGATCATGGAATATGCAATTAATCCAGTTTAAGATGAGACCAAACTTTTCTAAAAATCCATGACCAAGGCGAAAATGTAGCCTGCAATAGACTTGATAAGCCCTACGGGTAAGCCTAGTTTTTAACTTAGCCAAGTTTTGGAAATGCATTTTGCTATGTTGTAACGCATATACTAAAATGGTGAATAATGCTGCCGAAAGGATTAAAGTCTAAGCTTTATGATAGGCTCAGTCAATAAAATTGAATCACTGCCACCACCAGAGGTCTTTGAGCATATAGCCATAAATGTGCACAGAAAATACAAGACTGATGGGTCCAGTAGTATGCAAAATTAGCATAACACACACACACACACACACACAGAGAGACACCAAACCATCATATACAGTCTGTGGACCAAACCCCAAATGCCCTTTCTCGAATAAAGAATGACTCTGACATGTGTTATGTCTCAATTGACCACAGGGAGACAGTAATGACACACTGCAGGAAGACTGGTAGTATATGTGTGTTATGTTACATTGACAGTACAGCTTTTAATTCTTCAGCTTACCACACTGTATATTCAGTTACTTTACAACAGTAAAGTAAACATTGATTTCAGTGCTGTCTTCTGTCAATAATACCATTTATTGTACAACACCAGTCCTTGGTTTTGCCACCTCACTGCAGATAGCAAATAAAATATTCATTATAAAACATTATAGTTATTCTTAAAGGATTAAAATGAAAACAGATGAGAGGCAACTTAAAATGTTCCCACATGAAAGACACATTTTTGCATACTTTTGTGATTTCAGACTATATAGGTCCCTTCTTGTGGCAATATTTAAGCTTTTTTCCAAAGAGCTTTACTTTTTCTTGATTATGCTGTTTTCACTTTTTCTCTCAGAATCTTAATCTGGCAACAATTATGACATTGATAAACTGTTATTGTTAGAGACTTTGTAGCGAGACAATGTGACTGGAAACAGTGTTCTTCTTACAAAGCTAAAGATGCACCCTTGCTCAATTCAATACACTGTTGCTACAGCCTTACTCTTAGTAGCCTATGACCAGTAGCTAATGTGGGCTAATGTTAGCTAACTGGTGAGTCATTCCTTTACTCTTTCTCCTTTACTTTATCTCGTCTCAACAAGGAATACATCAAATTATTGAAGCTAAATGTCACAAAATGTTTTTTCATGAGGACGTTATGTCCACTCACAAAAAAATGTGGGGCTCTCTCAAAGGAATACAGTATGATTTTCCGACGCACCATCACTCCTGATGAGGAAAAAATGTAAAATGTTTCACGACTTAACAGCTCCAGTGTCACTGATGTGATGGCCCCAGGGTTGGGCCCTCACTTGTTCTTGTTATCTTGCTGTGTTCTGTCTCTTTAATCCAGGTAGTTGGTGGGTGGAGCTGTTACCTGGTGTGAGGTGCAACACACCTGAGCAGGCGGGGCTTAAAGGATCCTGATTGATGATTTGTCTCTGTTCTCCTGGCCTGCTGATTGATTCTGTACTGTTTGTTTCTTTGTGTTTTACACCCATACACTCCACTCACACATACACTGCATACTGATCTGTTAGACACCTACAATTGTATATTTGGATTAATTAACTATTAAAATATCTAGTATTATTTTCAGACTGTGTGGTTCCCCTCGTTTGTCACCTACTGTTTGAGCTAGCCTGTGACACTGAATATTGACTTCACATGGAGGCAACACTCAGCTTGCTGAACTAGAAACTGTAACCATCAACTTAATTATTAAACAGACAACACATCATACTGCCCTTGACTGTCCTGCATGTGAGTCATCTGATCGGTCAACATCAGCAGGCAGAGACGATATCCCAGGATGACGTTGGACTCTCCCAGTCATAAAGACTGAATTCACAAGAACTTAAATGTAGATTTTCAGTCACTATCTCAGCAGGCATATTAACAATGCCACAGATTATCGTAACTGAAGTCTACCGTTCCCCTCACTTCTACAGAGCTTTTTAATGTCTTTCAGCTTGTTGTTTTGGTTTTACGAAAGGCGTAGTTGCAGGGTGGGACGAAGGTCACTGCGGATTTCACCCTTGGGTTTTATGCTTAGCTTCACTCTTTTATGTCTCACTCTCAACACTGTCATCAGTGTTGCTTCCAGGCATGCAGCTGTTAGAAATGGGCTTTGGGCTTAGTTTGCCTTTGGTGATTAATTGCCTGTCAATCTGCTCTGCTCTTTTTTATTTATTTGACAGGGACAATGCACAATATATGTATTGTACCAGACATAGCTAAAAGCTTATTCTCACCTGCAGTCCCTGGGCAGGGCTGAGCTTACTGAACATCTACCACCAGACCTTTAACAGTGAGGGGTGAGAAAAATTATCCAAAACTCTCCAGAGCAAGTTTGAAATGCGGATTAGCTTCATCTTTTTGAAACTTCTTTTGAATCCTTGGATTTGTTGACCCTTATAAGACACTACAGACCACATAACAGCAGAGAGAAGCGTCAAGATGGCTTCACTCCATTACACTCTTGTATTTATTAAACCACAGTAATAGTATCTCTCAGTCTGAAGCTTGGATGCAAATTTCACATCAAACTCAGTAGGCAGTTACTTCCTTTGTTGTGGAAACAAAGGCATGATTTGTGATGTTTGAGTCAAACAATCCTTCGCTCAAGACAGTGAGTCACATGAGTGGTGTTTCGGAAAGATTTCTCTATTTAAAGTCCTGACACAATACATTATTCATGGGTTGATTTTAGTACCACTGGCATGTGAAATATACTAAAAATCAATGAGTAAAATCTCAAGTATGCCAGTCTTTTCTTCTGATGGCTTGATGAATGTAAATACACAATGTAAGTAACAAAAACCTTATTGTCAAGACCTTTAAATCACTGGTCACCACGTTTTTGTCTTGCAACCTTTTAAAGTGACACAATGCTTATTCAAGACCTCTCTTCACCAGTTGAGCAACCAGTTTATTTTAGTGATGTTGCCTCAGATTGTTTCATTCAAATAGTTTTAGAGGCCTGAAGAGGTAAAAGAATGAGGACAGACAAAATATTAGAAAAAGTTTGACCTGAGTCTGATGCTATAAAATTCAACAGCACAAAAAATTACAACCTCCAAAACCTAAACAATCTTTTATTTATATATATATAACAAAGATAAGAACATTCTAGTATTTAATCTCGATTATATATCCAATACATATCTTCACTGACATTTACATGAATTGTGTTACACAAGAATATCTATGGGGCTATTTTCCTATCATTTATTCAAGAGCATGGTCTTTCAATTTGAGACCATGATTTATTGATTTCAAGTTCAGATTTTGTAATGCTTTCCCTCAAAACGGTGCCCTCACAGTCAAACAGCCCTTGCATGCACTTAGATTTTCTCTGTTTCAAACAAGATATTTTGCCTGCACAATTTCTTCTGCCCTTCTCCTCGCGCTCAGGCTGTTTCTGTGCGCTTGTGAAATGTTTGCTCTCAGATTTCTGCTCTGTTCTCGGATCTTTTATGCAATAACCGTGACAGCCCCCCCCAACCAATAGAAAGCTGTGTTGATGACCATTGAAATGATCCCTGTGTTGTTGTGGGCGCATTAGCTTTAGGATGTCCAGTATGGGCAGTTACTCTTTAACTGGGTTCATCCACTTATGTTTTCCACGGCTTTATCCCTTGCTCTGTTTACAACTTTTTAAATAAAAGGACAGTTATTACATACACCAGTGCCCGGACCTTTTACTGTAATAGTTACATACGACATAGCACAAAGGTCTCAAACAACAACATATCTGAGTGCAAGCATACGGTTTGAGCAGAAGCAGAGAAAATCTAAACGCAAGCGGCTGTTTAACTGCGAGGACAGCGTTTTGATGGAAAGCGTTACAGAATCTGAACGTAAAATCTAAAAGTCATGCTCTCAAATTGAAAGACCACTCTCTTAAAGAGGTCACATTATGCTTTTTGGCTTTTCCCTTTTCCTTTATCGTGTTATATTTTTTAATAGGTAATAGGTTTGCAAAGTGAAAAAGCCCAAGGTCCACCTCAAAGGGAGTTCCCATCTCCCACAGAAAACAGCTCAATTGTTGTCCAGCCTTTACTTTAGTAACATATCTGCATCACTATGTAACACACATCATCTTCAGCAGCTAGTGTGGCACACCCTCAAAAACACTGGTGGAGAAACACACTGAGCTGCAGCACACACAGTGCACAAATGATTTGCATGAAAGATGAATTTGTTACATATTAATAATTCACCACTTTGAAACTCTTGCTTCATTCTAGGTTGCAAAGCTGGTTTGGGAACATGTACAGTAGTGATGTGCAGATCGATACAAAAGTATCAATGTTTCTGATACTAACGTTTCCTGCTCTGGTCGATTCTCAGTAATTTGGAGTGAGTGTGTATTTTATCATAAGTATATTACTGTCACCAGGATGGTCTAATTTTACCTGTTTGATAGGAACTACTTCTCCTTCCGCCCTAAGTCATGCTTGCCCTACAGCTCTGTGACAGAGCTTCTTTGAAGTGAGCCCCTGCAGCCCTTTCCTGTGAATACTGACTATGGCTGACTGTAAAAACAGCCACGTCTGATAATGACGCCATGTGTGCAAAGACAGTGAAATACTTTGGCAACACTGAAAACTTCACTAAACATCTGAGATTATGTCAAAATAATATGATGATATTTTTATTATAATTAAAGAATATGACAGTAGTTTGATGTCTCGTCATTATGCAGCTATTAGTTTGAATTGGT